TAGAACTACTCTAGGATAAAACGATAACAACGAAAAAAGCGCAAAAAACGATGAACAAAAAGAAATAGAAAGGGTCAAAAAAGAGCTGGAAAGGGGGGTTGGACGAGTTTCACATTGGAAGAACGGCGGTTAAGGGAGTGTTCGGGCGGGTGCACGAAGGCGACGCAATGTCTGCAATAGCAGACAATACACCCAAGCAGACACATCGCTCCAATGCGAATGTGGTGAAGGACAATTAGAACTCGTAGTCAGCCTAGCGAGGGGCGGAGGCCTCCCGTCCCCCACTGTTCCTGCCCTTATTGTGCCCTATCCAGACCGTTTTCCGACCTCATTCCTGCACAAATGGTATCAGAGGGGGCGTCGAATTCAAACCATGTGCAGATCTCCGAAAACATTTTTTTCGTGAACAGTGCCTTTAATAAAGACCCATGATGTCTTTGAAAATTATGTTAACGTTGATGATTGGCAGGTGGCCTTTATTTATGTTTGCGGCGACGTGTCAATTAGGAGAAAATGAAATTCTAGGTAATGGAGATAGGGGAAAGAGAGGAGGGGGCAACAGATGGGGTAAGTTCCAATGGGTGCCTTTTCAAGACCACAACCAGAGAAGCAAGTAATAGCTTTTCAAAAAAAGCGCGATGATAAGCCGTGGTCAAGGTTCTAGTTGTAAATCCAGCTAAAAAAATTGGTTCCCTAAGAGTTATTCCAATCTCAGTTTCCACAATACTTTCTGTACCTCACAGACTACTCCAGTTGCCTTTTTCGCTCAATCACTCCCCTTTTCGGTGTTTCGCCCTGCATCCCAAGATTCTCGTCATTGAGATTTTTCGCTGCCCAAAGCTTAAGCTATCCCGAGTCCGTACGCTAATCGCTACGACGACGACTAATTGTCGAAGTTTGCCTTCACGACGAACATTCCATCAGAGCAATCCGATATGAGTGAAGCCTTAGAAGCTATATCATGGCTATTATGGATGCACAGCCTTCTAAGGAAATCCACTCGATCGAATCGGTTAGAGAGGGGATGGGGACCATTCGAGCGTATACCTACACGGCGTTTACCTCGTCTTACTAATTAACATTACCGCATCAGGTTTCCAAGTAAATACTGCTATTTCCTTTCTTTCGATTGGTCAGGGATATTAGAGGGGCTTCTATTTTTGGTGCTTACTACTGTTTGGATACTTGCTAAATATTTGTTGTGGGTAACCGTGAAGGTGAAAGGAGCTACTTAGTAGTTTCTATATAAGCGTTCAATCAACCAGGATAAGAGAAAAGCGAAACGATGATATAGGGAATCATGAAGGTCCTATCTGAATGATCGAAATGATTTTCAAAAGATCTTGTTTATGCCTGTCTTTTGAGTTCCGAGGCTTTTGAGGATTACCCATCGTTTGCCAATCTCTTCAGGAATCGTATTCACTGATTTCGTTCTAGGACCACCGTCTTCGACCAGGAGACCATGTATTACAAATCGGTAACATCAGCACTCACGGAATGAGCAGTCAACAGGTATGACTGAGGACATCATGTAGCTACCCAAATATCTCAGGACCTAATGACCTTCTCCAACAACTTCTGTGAGATTCTTCAGGTGGCAGCGATTCTGCGGCAACAAGACACGATTGTGGAAATGATTGTCGGACGACCAATCAACTACGCTGATCGACCACCGGATAGCAGTGGTCAGTTGGATTTTCAACTTATTTTTCGCTCTCACACAGTGATTTCTCATTTTTTTGAATAGTTTTCTCCAAAACTTTGAACTCTATTTGTACCTGGCTAGAATTCTTCACTGCTCAGTCTGTTAGGCACGTTATCGAGACAATCGTTTATTTGGCTGCTGAAAGCACCATTTATGAAAGAATATAGAAAGTCACAGACTGCCAGCTTCTGTAACAGGAGTTGAAGCTGCTGAGAAACCTCTGAGCCAGGAATTCTGACTGGATTACTCCGGGCATACTCTTACTACGAATCACTTCTTCGAATATCCGATTCTTCGAAACGTCAAAAGATTTCTCAAACACCATCGGTCAAGTTTTTCTCCTTCTTGTCTTGTCTCTGGAAGAACGCACTCTGAAGCTGGTGGAAATCATCCCTCGGCATTTTCATGGCTTACTCCTTTCTTTTGCGGAATCGGCTTGGTATTCTTGAGTAATCGTGAGTAATGAGTGGCATTTTGAAACCTCAACAACAGAAAATATCTGAAACCGCCGTTTTCAGATATTTTCTACTGTTACAATCGTCCTGTCATTGTTTTCAGATGGTCTCCCTTTCTTATAATCATTCCTCTTTTTTCTTGTTTTCCTCCTTGCTCTTCTTTTTTCCTAATTTATCCTGCCAGGTTCAGATAAAATAAGCCTATCTGCCTTTTCACTCTCAATGTGTTACAAATCGGCCTTTCTGATGGAAGACTTCTGCAGTGGACTTTCGCATTTTATTTTTTATAATATTTCCAAATTGAATTTCTCGCGATTAGCTTTCTTCGAATGCATGCAATATCATTTGATTTGAAATAGAATTATTGCATGTCATGGTGAGAACCTCATAAAGCTGTCACTGAAATCAATCAACTCCGTTTCATGGTCCTTTTTCGCTCTGGTCTTTCCTCGTACTCTCAGGAGATTTTGCTTTACTGAATGTGAGAGATGGAATATATCGTGTTCTTGATGATCGGTCTAGTTCTGGAATGCTCCCATGCGTTCAAGTTGCCCTCAGAAACATAGTGGTAAAGGGTATTCGGCTTAAACAATGGCTCATGGAAGACGGCCGAGAGATGAGTCAGTGCTTTAATCCATCTTACAGTTGGTCTCAATCAATCAACCCTGAGGGAGTGGAAGGCATGGTTGGCTTGGGCAGGAATCGATCCATGACTAAATCCCCGGCCCACGTATACATTGCTGCCGTGCTTTCCCATTACGTTACCTCAGCCTATTCTCAGTTACTTGGGAGGGATGGCAGAAGATTCTGGAGAATCGCCAGCACCATCTCCTCAACTCATTAGCATCATTAGCGGTGTTTCTCTAAAATTCGCCGTAAGGCCTGCCTAGTTCATGGCAAGGCCGTTTCTGAAGACGTAGTTTATGGCCAGGATTTGAAACCATCACCCTATCAAGGTCCTTCGAAAGCTACCTGGTTGGGCAGACAGAAATGCGACCTTGTCGGACACATTCTAGTGCTTCTAGAAGTCACGTCGTCAGGTAGAAGCAAATTCAAATGTCACCACTGTAATGAGTGGTGGGTGGGATTCGATGGCAAGGCGTATCCCTAAACAGGCTTGTTCAGTTATCATTATATATGTAGTTTTGGTTAGTGTCTTGGTATAAATCTCAGCGGCGGGAAGGCGCAGGAGATCGTCTTAATTCCAAATGGATCGCTAGCAAATTACTTGGGTAAACAACCAACGAAAACAACGACAACAATTTTCTTTTGTTAGCGTACACAAACAGCTCCGTGTCGATTTGAGCCAAGGTTGTCGTCTTTTACTTTTACTACTAAATTGACGGTGTCCAGAGCCAGAATCTTCTGACCATGAATTGCAGTGCCCTAAGGAGCGACTGAGACTCTAAAGTCTCAGTTGCTTTTCTAGGCTCAGAGACTAGGCTTTCTAGGGCTTCTAGGGACTGATTCGAAGATGACGCACCTGCCTAGGGCTGCTTAATCCTGACTTAAGACTTTTTCAGGATTCCCCGTGTCATCATTCCTTTGAGAGCAGCCATTTGTCATTTTTGAAAAGTTTGAATCTGCCAGTTTCTTGGAGGCGTGGAAATTCTTTCATTTCACCAAGAGAACGGGGCAGAAAATTGGTGTCCTGGTAGATTCTTCGTCAATACTCGACTCTCTTAAAGTTTTTGTTCAGTAAGCGATCCCTCTCGCATTTCACGTAGTAGCTGGCTATCCGCCCAATAAGGACAAGTAGCGGTAGAGGGGATCAAGGG